CCAGATTAAGGATATGGGCGGAAATCTATAAGGCATACCCCCAAAATGAGATTGGTAGCGAAGCTCGACTAATCATGGAACGAACCATATCCAACAAGGTTCGGTTACGCCTCTCAGCCACACCATTAAGTTGTGGTGTCCTGGAAGGTGTCAATTGTGATATAATCCCACATTCCTTAAGATGGTCGAGGAACTCTGTACTAAGATACTCACCACCATGATCGGATCGAAGCATCTTAATGTTCCTGCCCAATTGATTCTCGACTTCTTGTTTAAACTCTTTAAACCCTTCAAAAGTCTCTGACTTATACTGGAATAAATAGACATATTCATATCTGCTATAATCATTAGTAAAAGTCAAATAATAATGATTAGCATCCCTTGTGGCAGATTTGAAGGGTCCACAAACATCCGTGTGCACTATTTCCAACACACCTTCACCCCTAGCACAAGAACCATGAAGGGTAACTTTGTCAGTTTTCCAAGTAAGCATGATTCACAACTATTGTCTAACTTTAGGTCAAATGACTCCAAGACTCTATCCTTTTGGAGTTGGCTTATGCATTTCTTGCTCACATGTCCAAGACGACAATGCCATAATGATGCTTTATCCAAGTTATTATTACTAGAAGAATCAATACACAACACATTATTTCCTAGATTATCTACAACAAATACAGATTCATACACACCATCACAAGGTAATGCTTTAAAATAAAGAACATTATTAAAGAAAGCATTTATTCCACCAATTTCATTATCAAAAGAAAAGGTAAACCCTTGTTTGTACAAATCATGAAAGGAAATAATATTTCTTGCCATTTATTGCGAATAACATCATTTATTCAAATCTAAAGTAAACCCACTACTTAGCAACAAAGAATAAACTCCAATCTTGGTGACGTGTGAAGTTTCCTATTCCCCATGATCAAATTCATCTTTCCATGCTCCACATTCTCACTTCTTCTTAGTCCCTACAAATCAGAACATATATGAATACCACAACCTGTATTAAGTACCCCAAGAGTTAGAATAGGGTGAGTTATTAGATAGAATAGTGTAAATACCTGCATGGTTGGGTTTAACTTTCCCATCCTTCACATCTTGCTGGTAGTTTGGACAGTTCCGGATCCAATGCAATTTTTCATGGAAATAGAAGCATTCAGCCTCTTTTGGGTCAGAAGAAGGAGTGACGAAACCTTTATTGGTTCCACTTGAAGAAGAGCCATCAAGGATCCTAGCCTTGGTACCCTTCGAAGACCTCTTCCTCTTTTTCCATCTACCTTTTCCGATTGCCAAGATAGCGGTAGAGTTTGGAGTAAGAGTAGGAGTGTTAACAACCGACTTACCTTTAAGACTTGTTTCTGCAATATTTAGGAGTCCTTGAAGTTTGTTGAGTGTGACTTCTTCCTTATTCATGTGGTATGTCATGCATAATTGATCATAACACGAGGGCAAGGATTGCAAAATGATATCTATTGCAAGTTCCTCAGGGAAGTTCACATTAAGCTTCAATAAACGCTCCACATACCTTTTCATTTTCTACATATGGCCCGTGATGGATTCTCCATCCTTCATCCTGGTTGTTATCATGGAGGAGATTATTTCATACCGCTCTTGACAAGCACTCTGATGGTATCTTTCCATCAAATCTTGGTGCATCTCAAAAGGGTAGTAGTCCTCATAGGACTTCTAGAGTTCAGCTGTCATGGTGGCCATCATGATGCATGCCACTTTGGTGGCATCTCTTTCATGAGTCCATAAGTCAGCGATCTCCTAAGGAGTAGCAATGGACTCATCGATCTCCTTTAGCTCCTTATCGAGGACATATTCCTTGTCCTCGTAGCGAGTCACCTTCCTGATGTTCCGGATCCAATCCATAAAGTTGGAACCATCGAAGATGACTCTCCCACATAGGTTCATGAGGGAAAAGGAGCCAGTAAGGTTTGAGTCAGAAGCAGTGTTGTTGGAAGACATCTAAAAAGAAGAGAACAAGATTAGTTTAGATATAAAGAGAGTCCTTAATAAAACACCCAAATGTAATATTAAGGCTAGGATCCAATGACAATATATTATAACTTAGAAAAGGGATGCCGTAATCTAAGATATAACATATTTAAAAGGTAGGTGAATGACGATTCACCAATTTCCACCATGAAAAACAAAATATAAATATTAGTCCAGTTTAGTGTGCTCCACCGACCTATAATAAACTTTAAGTCATCCTTTACCTACCTTGTTAAGTCCAGTTTAGTGTGCCGATTAAGCATACACGCTCCACTAACGACTTAAACAAAATATAACGTGTAATTTCATGGATTAGCACCTTATTCACATTTTCCTAAAGTAACTAAGATTGGGAATTTAATAAAACATTTAGTTACTTTTTAATATTCATCATACTTTTAATGAGAATTTATAAGTCCTTGTCCTACCCGTTCGGCTAACGACCCTCCACCGATCAAGGAAGCGGTGGGTGAAGGTGGACACTCATTAAGCTGCCATTTTATAGGCAACAACTTTATACCCACCCCCCCCCCCCCCCCCGCCCCCCCTTATAGACCGGCTTCATGAATGAGGCCTACTAATGGTAAGAAGACTTGGTCTTATACATATATATATATATATATATATATATATATATATATATATATATATATATATATATATTATTTAACTTATAATATTATAAAGTATAAGGTTTGATTTTTAACTTTTAAAAATCTAGGGGTTGGAACTAAAGTTTATTAAGTGACTTTACATGTTCAAAACTTGAAGGAAAGTTTTGTAACTTTACAAAACCTTTCACATTCATAACTTATGAGTTATTAAAATGAAGACTCTTAATTTTATAACTTATGTGTTCTTTTAATGGTTTTTAACACAAAGAGACTTTTGGTTATCCATAACTTGAGGACAAGTTATGGACTCCATTAAAACACATAAAGATCATGAATTAAACATTTAAAAAAAGTAATTCCTACGATCTATCTCATAGGAACATGAACATTCATGTCAAAGTTTCAAGAACATATGGATACATAAGATTATGAAATATTGATATTAGCCATTGTAAATGGATTAGAACAACCATTAAACCATCTAAAACAAGTTTTACAACACCAAAACAGTATATGGTAATGTTTCTAGTCCATTTACAACTGCAAAGCTCCAAAAATTGCTCACTGGATGACAAACTCGTTGAGTTCAACAGGGAACTCATCGAGTTCATGCAATAGGACATAAACTCGACGAGTTTTTGGCCAGAACTCGTCGAGTTTTCTTGTCTGGATAGTTTTTGGCTTTGCATCAAGTATTTAATAAACAAGCCTAGGCTCTGATACCACTAATGGGTTTTGAGCATTCTAACACTCCTAAGTGTACATGCAACCCTAAAAAACCTTGGATCTATGTTTGTCTAAAATACATGCAAAATATGATTTCCAAGGTTCATAATCCTATCTAGCATACATGGGGAACATTTAATCTAAAAGATGGCTAGATTTACATACCTTGTAGTTGATTTGATTCCTTGAAAACCTTGAGAGCCTAACACCCCAAGTGTGATGCCTCAAATTCTTCACGCAACACCAAATGCTTTGGAATGACTTTGAGAGAATGCAAACATTTGTAAAAATTGGCCTAGCCATCTTGTAACTTCATGTGACCGATTTTGGTGAATACGATGTCCTTTATATAGTGTGTCACATCTAGGGTTACACCATGTAAACCCTAATGTGACATGAATCTTCATTTCCATGACCCATGGGTTTGTAACTCCCATGGAGCATCCTATGTGTTCAACTGAACTTGATAATCCATGGAGCCTTTATCCCACTATACAAGTTATGGATGATTTAGATAATCAAACCAAATATTTAATTAGTTATCTTTTGATCACTTAATTAATTCCAAATTAATTCTTACTCAATACTAATTAAATAATACTACTAATATATTAGAACTTATAATATATTAATAAACCATAAGCGTTATTTCTCTCATTTAGTCTATCCAAATGCATGATGCCATGCAACCCAAATAGACCATGCCGGGTCGGGTCACTACAAGAAAAAGATCCTTTTATGATGCGCAAACCACGACACTCGTTGATTTATGTTATGCATTATTGCGTGCCCTTAAATTAGTGTTTAAAAAAAAGACGGAGGGCACCTATAATAAAATGTGCGTCGTCTTAGGATGTCGCTTTATATTTTTTAATGGAATGCGTGTTCCATAGTTAGGGAAAGGGGGAAATGAAATTCTAAGAAAATTAAAAACCCCGCCTTCCTTTTTTTCTCCTTTCCCTCTTGCCCAAATTATGAACGCTCCTTCCTTACTGCCGCCTACTTCTTCCCCCACTTACTTCTACCCACTAGAACCACCATATCTCCCACTCGATGTTGAAATTGTTAGAAAAAGCCCTAATTATATTCTCAAGTCTCAATATTAGGAATGTGAATCTTGATTCTCGTTTGTTTCAGATTCCCCATAAATAAATCGAAAAATACACAGGCGAAGAACCATAACCTTGATCCATTAGCTTCCTGATTGCATCTCGTCATCACCTTTGAATCTTCTGCGTTAGAGACCCAGGTAATCAATTTATTTTTCATTTCTTCACATATCTTTTTCTAGTTTTGAATGATTTTTTGCTGTTTGGGAAGGAATAACAAATTCATCCTCTCCAGTAGCCGAGAACCTTCACTCTCTCCTTCTCCTTTTCTCTGTAAACTCTAATCCACCTCCATTACTACCGAATCCATTTTGTTTATCCTAAAGGAATAACACAACCAAGCTCGTATCTTAGATCAAGTACTCTGGTGTGGAGTTAAGAATTGAGGGCGCACTTCAGGCTCACATCCTCATTGACGTACATCACGTGATATTCCAGACCATCGAGGTTTGATTGACTTGAGGGTTCCGCTCGGAGACTGGAGTAGCGGATTAGGTCCATGAAAATCAGAGGAGGTGGTGAAGGATGATGGTTTTAGGAGGCGATGAATAACATGAATGAGGAGATGTTGTTCCTAACTGTATCCTAGTCTCCGAATGTACAACAATTAAGGCAATATATATGGGGGTTTCTTTCAAGAAGCAAGTACAATGTACAACAACTAAAGTTTACTTGGTCTCAAATTCTTCTTTCCCAGGTTGTTTTTCTGCCCTCGTTGTACTTTTAGTTTTCCCGCATCTTCTTATAGTTTCGAGATGCTTTTCATGTGCTTATAAGCTTGCTGGTGTTTACAAACTTATTGGCACGCATAAACTCATTTATATCTTGTAATCAGCTTCATGTTTAATAAGAATATATATTGTGCATTTTGATTGTAGTCTGAGGCTTGTAAGGTTTTCAGGTTATATTGAATCAAAACTGCATAGGCTAAGTTGGTGATCTGTTGTGAAGTGTATGTTGATTTACGCTAATATATGTTTATGTTTTCAGCCAAACACAGGACTCTTTGTGGGTCTAAACAAAGGGCATGTTGTCACCAAGAAGGAATTAGCACGTCGTCCTTCCGACAGAAAAGGGGTAAGTAATAAATCATGATATCTAAATTGTGTTGAGTTTCTTTTGGTTAAATTAATGGTTGTGTTTCTTTGGATTATATATAGAAAACAAGCATAAGATCACACTTTGTGAGAAACCTTATCATGTATATTTGAGATCTTTTGTCTTTAAAATAATGGGCTTTGAATACTTAGACCAAAAGCAGTTTTTTCTACCTACCAAGATTAATAACACACTGCCTAAATTCATCAACTTCAGAAAACTCAAAACTACATGTCTGATAGAAGCCTGAGTGTATTTTACTGGAGCTTAAAGAACGTGACATTTTAATTGATATGGATTATGATTCAGAATTCGTCTAACTGCCTGTTAAACCTAGCTAAACGAGTCTTTGTCATTCAGGCCAGCAATGCATCTATATCCTCTCATGTTCAAGTAATTTTTGTATATACTCATAAGTTGCACATCAACTAGGTGATTAGATTATTCAGGGCTAGAGAGAGTGTCTTTTGATATAGCTCATCTGAATCAATTGTATGTTTGTGTGTAAGGATTCATTAAGAGGAAAAAAATGTTAGAGCTCTGATAAGTGTTGATTCTTTAAGCGTCTATGAAAAATCTAAACTTTATTTTATGTCAACCAACACAAAGTCTGATCATTAACACCCTAATTGGGTGTCTGAATACTGTAGGCTGAGACAGATAGGGAAGCAGGAGGAAATAAGGGTGTCTCTAATAAACAAATTCATTTAAAGATTTTTTCACCTAATGTACTTGACATTACCCTTGTGGATTTACCTGATACAACAAAAGTTCCTGTTGGAGATTAGTCATCAAACATTGAAGCTTGTATTAGGACAATGATAATGTCATACATTAGCTGTTACACCCGCAAATGTTGACCTTGCCAACTCAGATGCACTTTAAATTGCTGGAAATGCAGACCCTGATGGTAGGCACTGATTTCATTGAGTGATTTTGGTAGAAAAACTAGAAATAAAATGAAAATTCATCTCTTTAACATGGCTTCTTTTCTTTTTGTGATGTTAGGTTACAGGACAATTTTGTAGCCAATTTATTATGTGACTTATTGGTTATATATTATATGACTTTTTCAGGAAATATTAATGGATTGGTAGCAAGGAAGAAGTTAGCACAAGCTCATTGGTTAGTGGGGTATTGGATTACTCACAATTTCTTTTAAAAAAATCAATACTATTTGTTTTATGTCCTAATAGTTTAATCACTAGAGAAAATAGTCAAGTGGCTAAATTAATAAAAACATAAAATATGAACACATAATTTGACAACTCTATATGTGAACGCGGGCTGTAATTGAGAACATTCCATTCAAGAAAAAAATATTCAGTGAAATTGAAAACATTTGTCCTCCTCAATGCATTTTAGCAACCAACACATCCACCATTGACCTCAATTTAATTGGATAAAAAAATCAAATCTCAAGATTGAGTTATCGGGGCAAATTTCTTCAGGTTAAACAAAATAATCCACATCTTTATCTTAAGATTATATAACATTTTCAAATAATAATTTTGTTTTTTTATTTATTAAATGAAATGATTACAATCCAGCTCATGTGATGCCATTACTCGAGATAGTTAGAACAGAAAAGACATCTGCACAAGTGATTCTTAACCTAATGACAGTTGGAAAAGTCATAAAAAGAAGTGCCTGTTGTTGTGAGGAATTGTACAGGTTTTGCTGTTAATCACATGTTTTTTCCATACACACAAGAGGAGATGTCAGGAGGAGCAAGAATACACATTTTCACCTATTAATATGTAACACCCAACTCCCTTAGTTTGCAATAAATATATTTAATCAATCAAGTCACTGCTGCAGGAAGTTGACCCTTGTGAGGAGTTAACTGATGATGACATCAGAACTACTATACAAAATGCAACAAGCCCTAGATCTGCATTGTTTGTACCTGAAGTATGTCTTATTTTTATAAACCCCTCACTCACAAGTCATATCTACATACTTTTTATAACTTAATATTTTGTTACACAGGTTCCATTTGAAGTTCTAATTAGACGACAGATGTGCTTGTTTACTATATCCAAGCCTTCAATGTGCAAGATTCATATAATTGGACACTGAGCTGACTGATTTGTTCATGTTTTAGATGGGCCATCGATGTATGGTGAATGAGTTACAGAGATTTCCTGTTCTCAGAAAGAGAATGGATAATGTCATAGGGAATTTTTTAAGTGATGGTCTTCAGCCTTCCGAAACCATGATTGGGCACATAGTTGAAAAGGAGGTACATATCATTATCTCTATTTTTTATTTTATCGTGACATTACTGAAAATATTGCTTTTTTGGGTAGATGGATTACATAAACACATCACACCCGAATTTTGTGTGTGGGAGTAAAGTTGTGGAGGTTACCTTGCAGCAAGTGAAATCTTCTAAGCTTGCAACAACAGTGTCGAGGCAAAAGGTGTGGTTAATATATCGTTAATAGCTATAATATTATGTTTTATTGTAAGTTTTGTGGTTTTTCATGTTTACTTATATATTTTTCTTGATTGATGTTGTATTTTGTAGGATGGAGTTGAGTATGAAAAAGCTCCACAATCTGAAAGGGGTATAAAGTCACGTGCAATTCTTTCTAGGCCTGTTAATGGAATTGCCACAGAACAAGTTCTCTTTTTTGCATTTAACTTTTAAACACGTTTTAGCATTGTTGTTGGATAATATTTTAGAGAAGCAAATTCTTTTTCTAAATTTAAAAAAAAAAAAAAAAATTAACATAGGTTTCCAATAGCAAAATAATATCACGTTCTGTTCTTCTTTCTGCCTTTGAAACTGCAAGAGATATTGAAGCCCTCAAAGAACCTAAGAACAAACTGGAGAAGTGAGTTGAAGATGGAGAAGTGAGTTGAAGAGCTGACATGGAGATTAGACTTTGAAAAGCATTTGAGGGTGTATTTTTTGATATTTCTTGTATCTAACTAGTTTGTATATTTTTGTTACAACTATTGATTTATTTTATCTTTGCATGTAACGATTGTTTGTATGACATTAAAATTTATGTAATGGAGTGTATTTTTTGTATATGATATTTTAGTTTCTATTATGAGATTAAATACAAATTTAATTTGAAAATTAGTAAATCCATAAATAATATTTTTTTTAATTTAAAATTATGATACGCAAAAATGTGTGTCATCTTCATTTATGGCATGGCCTTTCTTGATAGGGGTTTTCTTGATACGTATTACGTGTCATTAACACGTGCGTCGTAAGGTTACGACATGCAAATGCGTGTCGTCTTACTTTATGACAAGGCCTTCCTTGATACGCATTGCGTGTCGTAAACGCGCGTTGTAAATGCGCGTCGTCTATAGACGACGCACAAAAGCACGTCGTCTCCCTTTATGATATGGCCTTCCTTGACGTGCATTTGCGCGTCGTCTGAGCCTTTTATGACATGCAATGAGCGTCGTAAAAGGCTGTTTTCTAGTAGTGGGTCAAGTACATACCAATTATAGTTATGGACTTAGACACCTTATCCAACATATATACGGTTTATTGTTTGCGAGTTGGTTGTGTATTGATAATGCGTAAACGCATTGTTGCGCATAATTTGATGAGTGAATGACAAATGCATATAAGTCGAATTTTATCTATTCCTTTTATCCTAAGAGGGTAAAAGCGATATCTAGGCCCCTTGATGATTTGGTTTGAATTATGTGTCGGGCCCGGTCAGGACTAAATTGATGTGTTCAATTAAGTTCTATGCTAGACAAATCAAAGATCGAGAAACAAACTATTGGACAATAATTATGACTATGTTCCATGTAATTGTCTGCACAATATCTAGAATAGAGGACTGTACAATCGCTTATCTAAAGGACAAGTTACTGATAAGATCAGAGTTCGACAATATCTTTGAGAACTACGATTACTAATCGGATCCTGAAGTCATACTTCCATTTATAGTTGCTAGAATTATCCAAGTGGGAGACTGTTGGATTAGTGTCTAAGCCCGTAACTATATTTGGTATGTATTTGACCCGGTTGTGCATGGTCCTTTTAGGTTGCTTTCAACAGAGCAACTGGACGGGATGATTTATGGAGAGAGAGAGAGAGAGAGGTTATTATGGTTTATTAATATATTAAAAGAGAAATCATATAGTTTAATTAATATTGGTCAAAAATTAATTAAGAATTAATTTTGTGGCTAAAAGGGATTAATTAAAAAGGGAGACTGGAACTATCAATTATAAGATAATTGAGTTTGGGCTGTGAATCCTTATGGATATAAGGGGGGATGAAATTTAGAGTGTAACCCCACTCTAATTTTGTCCAAGGGGCCTTATTCCAGAAGGTTCTTGAAGCTACTTAGAGCCCAAGTTATATAATTACGATTTTGAATGAAACCCTAGCAACTCAACTATTTAAGGACCCCTAGGGCTACAGATTTCGGCCAACCTAAGAAACCCTAGAGTTACTATAGCTGAAATTGTGCCACCTCCTCCTATCTTCAAAATCATCTTACTGAATTGGTGTTTGTAAGTTATTAGAGGTATTACACTTGTGATACTAAGCTCTTGAAGATTAAATATTCTTGCAAGTATTGAAAGGTATCGTCTAAACTTGTTTTATTATAGATCTTGTTTTAATAGTATGCTAGATTAGGGTTTATAAGAGTTGGATAATTTTGCATGTACAAAGAGAAGCCTAGATCCAAATATTTAGGGTTTTGCATGTGCACATAGGATGTTCTTTTACTCAAACCCCATCAGTCCAAACATAGATATGATCCCTAGACAAGGTCTTAAACAATAAATTTGCCAACTTTTCACTCTTAGATGCCTTAAAAGGACTCAACACTTAAAAATAAGCTTAATAAGGTTCTTAATAATTGCATGGACCAAAATCTTTCACAAAGTTTACATTTTTATGATCTAGGGATCCTCATGGAGCTAAGATCTAACATCCATTGTGTAACATCCCGATTTCCATTTATGAGATTTTTTCTTTAAAAGCAAGTTTCCTTTGGAACTCGGTGAGCTAAGATCTAACATCCATTGTGTAACATCCCGATTTGCATTTTGCGTAATCATGCACCTCCTCATGTTTCATTTTTATGATTTTGGGATTTCTCTGATGTGAAACTTATTTTGACAAAAAATTGTAATAAATGATGGTTTTGTGTTTATTTAAAAAGTTTAAATTTTCACGAATTTTAGGAATGTTACATGTTGGTATTAGAGCCTTGGTTTGAGTGAATTGGAGGAACACTCATGTGAATCCAGTCTCAAACTAAGGAAAAGATTTTCAAAATGATTTTTAAATGGTTTTCATGTGATGTGTATGATCCACTGGAGCCAGTAAGTAGCCCCAAAATACCATACTTTATTTGATATTGTGATATGTTAGAACATCATGCTAGTGATAGGCTAGGGATCTTCAGGAATTGCATGATATAATTGCCTGATTTTATAATTCCTGATAGCCTAGGATCTTTCTTTTACGGAATTGACATCATTACTGTAGTTTCTTAGTGTACGCATCATGGTTATATATAACTAAGACCTTATAGCCTGAGAACGTTTGGTTTGGCCTTATATCATGTTCTTGTTTGATGAAAGGCTTAGGGAAGGATTAGATATTTGAATGTCTATTGGGTCCAGTATTATGTATGGCGAGCATACACGAGTACTGGAGGGTTGGTGGAAGTTTCATGGATGAGTCGTGTGGGGTCAGCCAGCCAGTTGTGAGATGTTTATCCTTTACTCTAGGTAGTGAGGATTAAGTGTTTGACTATGCTTATGAGTATTGTTAGGGTGTTATGATGATCCTTTAGACAAATATGGGTAGGTGTGGAAGGTAGCATGGGCCCGTACTACTGAAAACACAGGACCCGTACGTGTAGCAAGGAAGTCACCACCCCTAGAACTTTGTTGGGAGTTGGTTCCCTATCGTGATATGTGGATTATCTGATATCTTCCTGGTGTATTTTCAGTATAGTGACTATGAGACGAGTTGAGATCAGATTCGGGTCAGGACCAGGAGCTAGCAGATAGGGTGAGCCAGTATAGTAAGAGGACCGCGTCAAGGAGATCATTCACGAAGAGTTGGTCGTTATTGTCTGGGGTCAGATTCTGGAGATGTTTGGGTCTATCAAGACCGCGATGATGGAGTTCTTTGATGATCGCTATGCAGCCATTGCTGAGACGGCTGCTGCTGTAGCCTCCATAGCTGTGGCGGCTGTAGGTTTTGCGACAGGTCAGGTTTTTAATTATCGGGACTTCGATAATATGAAGCCCCCAACTTTCGATGGATTTTTGGACCCGATCATAGCCATGAGATGGATATCCTATGTGGAGGGATGTTTCTTTACGAGTTCATGCCCTGCTGACCAGAAGGTCAGGTGCGCTCTGATCCTTTTGAGGTCTGGAGCGAAGGATTGGTGGAGCCTCGGTACTAGTTCTTATTCTGTTGAACAGAGAGTTGATGTGACATGGGAACAGTTTTATTAGATGTTCCGCTCCCAATATGTCTCACTGGTGGAGCGTGAGAGATTAGCACATGAGTATATAGATTTGAGACAGGATTCTAAGACGGTGATGGAGATCCCCATAGGGATATCAACGGGGGCAAACGGGGTGGGGATTGCATCCCCCGCCCCCACCACCAAAATTTTCCTGTTCCCCCGCCCCCGAAATCTCTAACCTCCCCATCCTCGCCCCCGCCCCGAATCCTAGGATTATCCCCACCCCAGTTTCCCCGCCCCCGTTTGGGTTGATTTTTTTAGGCGAACGAAGGTGTAGTTTATGCTAAAAGAAGTTATTTTTTGAGCTAAAAGAAACCATTTTGGATAAAAATAGTTATTTATAGCATAAGTTTATATATTTAAAATAAACATATTATAACATCTTAAAAATGTTATACTATAAGCTTAAAAACATGATATTTAATTGAATTTTGGAAGTTCAAAATCATTGCTATTATTTATTATATTTTTATAATTAATATTTATTAATATAAATAATATATTAACGGGGTCCCCATTGGGGGTTCGGGACGGGACTACCCACCCCCGCCCCTGCCCCCGAAACTAGAACGGGGGTTAATATTGCCCCCGCCCCCGCCCCCGCCCCCGTCCCTGATTTCTTTAAATAAATATTCCCCATTTGGGATCAGAGCCCCATGGGTTCGGGGTCCCACAGGACTTTTTGACTTCCCTAGATCCCCAAGATGTTCATGGAGAGAGCTATGCTCGGCCCTGTGTTTGCTGCATTTGAGCAGGTTCATATGATCCGTTACTTGAGAATGCTCAAGATGGAGATCAGGCAATTTGTTTCTACACAGCACTGTGGTTCATTATTGGAGATGCAGGAGGCCACTAGGTGGCGTTATATTGAGATTGAGTTGCAGACTCGGGAGTCGAGACTGGCGTTGATGCAGTTGCAACCTGCGCTGAAACGGTTTAGTGTTACTGACTCCATGTCACAGAGTCATAGGGGTCACATTTGTGGGAGGTGTGGCAAGGTGTATGATAGAGTTTTTCGTTTTTCTTCAGGTTGCCAAAAATAAGCCAAGCAGGGCTACATTGTGAGGGATTGTTGGTAGCAGAATCTAGCTTCTGGCATCATACTTTGTAACCATTGTGATCAGGTGGTCCATATGAAGGCCCAGTGTACCTTTTTAGCTGCCAA